ACCCGTGGCGCCAGCTTTCGCCTGTTGACCTATGGCAACAATTACAGTGTGAGCTAGATTGCTTCTTGAGTGACGCCTGCTCTATACACCGTGTCAGAATCGCAAAGCCGGTTCTGACAGGGAATGAAAAGAAAAGGGAAGAGCTCCTAGTGTTGTGCTGGCTCGATTGAGTTGTTAGGAGACAGGGGAACGAAGGATGGGCTGCTGGATTAAAAAAGGGTGGGAAATACAGGCTGGTGCACAGACGCTGTTCATGTACTCTACAATCTCTTCACCTACCGAGTTTAGTGAATTAATCTATCCAAAATAATATCATACTTCACATCATCCATTAGATGATATTATCAATCGTCGGGATGCACATCTAGCATCACCTTCATAGATCACCATCGTCAGTAAGAGTTCACATTTGATACCTACTGACACCCATTTGGCCACAGTGATACGCACTCAGTGTCCATCGTGCCATCACCCAGCGTGAGCGCGCCATCTCCGCGACTCACCATTGCACATGAGCCCGTGCAACTCCACCGACAGACAGCAGAGATATAATTGCTATATACCTCACACCTCATAACCACAACACCTAGACGCCGCACCAAAGTTTTCGGACCACAATGCCAAGCTTGAGGAAGCTTCCAACCTTGTCGCTTTTCGGATCGCAAATGTTCCGGCGACTGTAAAAACAATCAGCTATATTCATACGGTCGATGCTGAGTGGATCTCATTGGAGATCTACCGAAAAACACATAAGCTTCCACACCAGCTGCTACCACACGGGACATGCCGTCCTGGAGCGCCGTATAGAAATTGGGAAGCCCTTTTCACCCGGGACAACGCGCCTCGCCCGGGCTTCCGCATTCTCGACGAGGCTGGTATGGCTAACATTCACAAGCTTCGTCCACAAAGTGAACAGTGTAAACGCTGTTTGGGCTTACACGCCACTCGTGGTTGCTCCCGCGCTCCAGCCTGCTGGAACTGCGGATCAAACACGCACTCGGAAGCCGAGTGCAAGGTCCTCACCAAGTGTCGCAACTCTGGGGTGCCCCACAGACCAAATTACCGGCACTGCCAAGTCAGACCCAGAAAGTCCGGGCCGGTGACCAAAGAGCAGCTCGCGTGGATTCGTCACCTGATGCAAGGGAAGTACGCAGAGGTGAGGTTCCGAGCGCGCGTTGTATACTTAGTATACAATGGGTGTGGGTGTAAGATTGGGGTGATATCACGTGGTGTCTCGTGGCTCCTAACTACAACGGATCTTGTGTAGAGCTTGAGACTAATACGTGAATTCTATATCCTTCAAGTGTCGGATGTCTATGTGTCTATATACATTGATTACTCCTTACTACTCAACGCTAGTAGATCTACTGCTGTGGTCGCGGGCTGTGACCGCGGGCTCTGACAGTGCAATTTGCTGCGCGTGAGGTCATAGGATAATTACGATTACGTGTGTGTGTGTGTGTTTCCTACATCTAGCTAATTCGTGCCCTGTAGATCTATCCGGGATCCACAATACTCCTTTTCCCATACCTGAGCTGTCCTCAGCTCACAAAATTTAAAAATATATTTTCATCATAATATGATAGTTAAAATATTCACAGGCCAGCTGCGGCTTTCAGTCTGTTCCGATCCTCGTTTAGTAGTCTCTGACTGCCATACCATAGGCTCCTCACAGGGTGTCCTTGTCGCACATAAGCGGGGAACAAATTGGTACCGTTGTACTTGTTAGACAGCTTGCATCCTCCAGGGGAGATCAATGAATACGTGTTTCCCTCGTGACAACTTGCTATTGCCCATGGCCCGTCGTAGAATGGTTCGAATTTGTGTCTACGTTGTCGTACTCGTAACACCCAGTCGCCTGATGCGTATGTCCGCATGAGTGCTTTCTTTTCTTGTAGGTATGATCGGGTCTGGTCGCGGACGGCCTTCATACTAGCAACGTAAGATCTTGCTATGGGTGCGGCATGTGCTTTTACTAACTCGGCGGCCTAGTCATTTTCCTCTCTTAGAGTTGACTCACGGGTGTATTCTGGGTACGCCAATTCTTCATTTGGTGGTTGTGTTCCAAATAAGAGGAAGTAGGGACTATACCCGGATGGAGCTATCCTTCTGTTGTACATCATTACTGCATGAGGAAGTGCTTCATTGGGTGATTTTATAGAGCCGTCTAGTAGGATCCTAGCTAGAATGGCTTTGAGCACGCCGTTTGCTTGTTCTACCTTGCCGTTGCTTTGAGGCCTTATGGGGGTCGAGTGGGTGACCTTAATTTAATACCGGGCGTGGAAGCTCTGCGCCTCTAAGCCACTGAAACATCCTGAATTGTCGCTGATGAGTTGCTTTGGAGCGCCAAAGCAATTGATGATGTGCATCAACAGGGGTACAGTATTTTGGAAGTTAGTGTTTGGTACTAACCGCGATTCTAACCAACCCGTTGAGTATTCGACTGCATGTAAAAGTATCTGCGGTCCGACTTGGGTGTGGTCAATACCCCAACAAGTTAGGGGTGGGGCTGGTTGAATAGGTGTTAGGTTACCTAGCGCTGGGTCCGGCTGCTTCATTAGTTGACACGAACGGCAGTTTTGAACAGCTTGGAGTGCGGCCAGAAGTAATTCAGGGTGCCAAAATTTCCGGTTGGCTACTCGCATAGTCGTCCCGATGGATGCATGTCCTTGGCTTTCGTGTATGATTCCGATTTCCTTTTCAAGTTCTTCCCGTTCCAGCACGGGGAGTATGCTGCGGCATGTTGCTGTCGTTGGCGAATCTCCTATAGCTGTCGAGGTTATTGGCTTGACTAAATGCAGCTTATTGTCGTAGATTGTAAACGTCCTCTGTACCCAGTTTGCGGTGAGTTTTGGTGGTAGGTCTTGTCCGGTAAAAAGGTACTCGAAAATACATTGAAGGTCTATCCGGTTTAAATGTTCGGGATTGCTCAAGGTTTCCTGCTCGTGTAGGCTGCCATTCTCTGGAATAATTTCCTGACTGTTGCGTAGATCTTCGTGCTCTTCTCTAGTAGGGTACATATTTTCCGTTGGGCGTGATAAGTAGTCTGCCAAAACATTTGCCTTACCTTTTTGATACACTATGCGTATGCCATAATGCTCGATGCTGTCTAGGAATCGGACGATTCTTACTGGTTGTTCAGCTTTAGTTCGGATTGACTTGAGTGATTCATGGTTCGTAACAACAGTGACGTCCGATCCTTCGACCCAGTGCCGCCAGTGTTGTAAAGCCATTAAGATTGCCAGTAGTTCCCGTTCCTGAGCCGAGTACCGTTGCTGCGTGTCGTTGAGTTTACGTGAAAAATAGGCTATAGGATGAAGAATAGATCGAGAGTTATCAGATACAGAAATGCTAGGCTGGAGTAATACTGCTCCAAGGAACTTTTGGGATGTGTCTGTTTCCAAAACAACAGGCAGGCGCCAATCGAAACATTTCACCACTGGAGTAGTTGTGAGAGCGTCTTTAATTTTGCTCCATGCTGCTTGGGACTTGGCAGTGAGAACGACAGGCGAATTCTTTGGACCAATGGACTGATCAATGAGAGGGCCGGCCAATTTTGAGAAATCTTTTATTAGTGGACGAAGATAGCTTGCAGCGTTGACAAACCCGCGAATCTCAGACGTAGTTTTTGGCATAGGCCTATCTCGTATTGCAGAGACTTTATTTGGGTCTGCTGAAATGCCCAGAAAAGAGATAGAAAATCCAAGGAAAATACCGTGTGTAACAAAAAGATGGCATTTGGATGTGTTGTGAATTAATCCATACTCCGCAAACCTAGTAAAAATGAGGGTCAAACGAGTGTGAAGTTCTTCGGGAGTATTTCCCCAGACTGCTACGTCATCTAGGAGTCCTGCGACTAACGGTCTGAATGGCTGAAGGACTTCTTCCATAAATGATTGAAACGTGGCCGGAGCGTTACAGAGTCCAAAAGGCATAACTAGCCATTGGTAGACAACGAAGGGGGTGAGGAAGGCGGTCTTTTCGCTGTCATCTTCGTGCATGCGGATTTGCCAGAAACCATTTTCGAGGTCGAGAAATGCGTAGTATTTGTGTCCGGAAGCTCGTTGAATTTCATCTTGAGTATTTGGTAACAGATATGCGTGTTTTTTTGTTACTTTATTTAGTTCTCTATAATCAACACATATTCGCCAAATTACTTTTTCAGAGCTTGCGTTTGTCTTTTTTGGTGTAAGTAGCAAGGGTGCTGCCCAGGGTCCTTTGCATTTTTTGATTAATGTTCCTTCGTGAGCTTTGCAAAAATCGCGGATAGCTTGGAGTTGTGACAGACTGTAGCGTCTTGGAGGAAGTTTGATTGGAGAGCTATTACCTGTATCTATTCGGTGGGAGGTTTTAGAAAGGATGTCGGATCTTCTCAAAGATTTATCGAAAAGGGAAGGAAATTGTTCTGCATAAATTCGACCATACTTTAAACCCTGAGTTGTAGTACTCGGGTGCCATTTTACTTTTATTACCTCTGTGGCCGTACAGATTTGTTGGGAAAGATTGTGTTTACTGTGGGGGGTTAGGGTTGGTTTTTCTGGAAATTCAAGGAGCTTAATCTCGCCATTGGCAAGGAATTTTAATCCGAAAGTATGGAATACAGTTTGCCCGAGCGTGAGATCTCCAGGAAATGTTCCGTCGGGCACAACACCTGCTGAAACAGTAAATGGCGTTGACCACTTCGCATTATGTGAGAGTAAGAAAAATTGCGCATTGACTAAAACATCTTGGGAGACAGTGGGACCTTTGCCACCTATTCCAGACATCGTGGAAGTATAGTTTGTCTGGTAGGGATTTAGTTTTTGTGCGAGAGAATAGGAAATATAACAAGAAGGACAACCGTAATCGAAAAAAGTCGAGAAACTGAACAAAGGGGACGTTGTTAAACGAGTGTAAAATAAGTTGTGTGGCTTGCCATGTCCCTCTCGTGTTGGTTTGAAGACGAGGGGGGTGGTGTGATTGTCAATGTCTACTGCCACGAAGTAGGCATCTTGACGTCTTTACTCGACAGGATGTTCTTCTTCTAATTCATCGAAGAATTTTTCCAACTCGTCGTCTGTTGGAAAACAATCTGCGTTATCATAGTCACCAGATGTCTCTTCAGGGTCAATTGAGTTGATAAGATAGGTTCCTCGGTTCCCTGGTCTCCCTATGTGCTGTGGTTGCTTTTGATTCCTACTTTTGTCCAAGAGGGCCGAAAATTTCTTCTTGAAGTTACCGTACTTACCTTTACCGGTATCTTGCTTGTAATGCGGCGGTACTTGCTTTGTGTAGTTATTCTTTGGGCATTCTCTAGCCCAGTGTCCCATTTTTTTACAAATGGCACAACTGCCGTCGCGTACCGGAAAAGAGCACTCAAGTTTAGGTGATGTCATGTCAGCTTTCTCTTGAATTGGGAATACTAAAGGCTGGTTCTGCCTGGGATCTGATATCATTAGCTTAGACGATGAGTTTGTATACGCGCTAACGCAAAGATTTGCTTGCGCTGGCCATTTCGAGATCCGGGTCGCTATTTGAACAAGTAGTTTGACACCATCACTGTTTGATCTTCCTACCATCATTGGCTGGAGATGTGTCCATATATGCGGCAAGTAGGTCTTTGTGATATCAGATAGAGTATCTCGAGTAGTATTGCTTCCTCTGTCTTGCTTGGACAGGCCGTAGTAGCATTCGCGGATTCTGGTGGTGAAGGATTTAACGTCTTCTCCATCTCTGGCAGCGAGGCGGGAGAAGATGGTTCTGGGACTATGTAGGACGTCTAGTCGCTGCATAGTTTTGAAGATTGCTTCCAGTAGCAAGGGCCAAGTAGTTGCCGGATTTTCCTCAGCCCAAACGCGTGTACATTGAAAGTCCTCTTTCATGTCTAAGCAAAGCCGTTGTGGCCAGTACCAGTACGGGACTAAGGCAATTCTAAAAACTGACTGAATTTCAGCGAGCTTGGAAAATACAGTAGAATTGGCCTTGTCCAGGCGAAGTTCCGGTCTTATTATCACCTTATTTTTTATGCTGGTATATGCCTCGTGATTTACCTCATGAGCCAGAAGTGCTTGAGGCCAAGCTTCTTTGACAAATTTTTCGCCAGGTGTTAAAACAATGGAATAGGGCTCTGGTTTGGAGGTCACATTTGTGCTGTCGACCGGAGGGTATGTATCTGGCCTTGCCGGGGCTTTGCCTTTTTCAGGTCGGGTCGTCAAATTGGAGGCTTCAGACATTGCGAGCTTACCAGATTGGTTTCTTGGTTGGATCGCTTTGAGACTCGTCTTTATCTCGTACATTGTTATTTCTATGCGGTCCATCCTTTCAGCCATTATTTTGCTTTGTTCCGCTTGGTGAATGGCGATGTCTGTTTGCGAACCTAACACGCTTTCAAGTTTTTCGAGTTGCTTCTTGATCCTATCGTTGAACTCGCTTTGCTGGTCAATATGATCACGAACCTTTTTGTTAACACCTGCAATTGTCGCTGGCTCGCTCTTTTCGGACGTGATGAGTGGTACAACGAGTTGTTCTTACTTTTTTTTCTATTTTTTTTTTTTGAAATTTGGAATGAGGTTTACTCTTCAAAAATATATTTTTGAGGTTCCGAGCGCGCGTTGTATACTTAGTATACAATGGGTGTGGGTGTAAGATTGGGGTGATATCACGTGGTGTCTCGTGGCTCCTAACTACAACGGATCTTGTGTAGAGCTTGAGACTAATACGTGAATTCTATATCCTTCAAGTGTCGGATGTCTATGTGTCTATATACATTGATTACTCCTTACTACTCAACGCTAGTAGATCTACTGCTGTGGTCGCGGGCTGTGACCGCGGGCTCTGACAGTGCAATTTGCTGCGCGTGAGGTCATAGGATAATTAAAATTACGTGTGTGTGTGTGTGTTTCCTACATCTAGCTAATTCGTGCCCTGTAGATCTATCCGGGATCCACAGAGGTGGCTCGCGCTAGGGCTGCAGCCAAAAAGGCCGAAGACGCGATCGTCGTCGCTGCGAAGGACGTATCAATGGCCGAGGCTACAGGTTTCGGAGCACTGGAAGCTGAAGAAGAAGTTTGAGGACACAGCAACCTCGACGATGTCCCTTTTGGGGCATCTAATAACCAATAGCAGGATACCAGCTGGATAAAAGGTATCTGCCAACTTATCTCTTGCTCTCAGCGGAGATTGAATAAATTTTGTCATTTGGAAGGTGTGACGGACGAGGGAATATGTGAGGAGCGCATTTACTGAGTCCAATATGGAGGAATCTTCTGGTATTCGGAGTTGTTTTGATTTTTGTGATTTTTCGTTCTTATTCAATCAGCTGCACTTTTGGTAGTGAATCACGAGGTTGAAACGAGTTAGGCTGTAGGAAAAGTTACAGGGAACCCTGCCGGATTCGCCGGTCCTTGACCCAATGTGGAAAATATAGCTTTAGCTTAGGACCAAAAATTTTAAAAAATTAAAAAAATATCATGAGTGGATCCAGCCGGCAAAAAGGATTTTTCAGATTCCAGTGTATATATGTATGTGTGTGTTTATTGTGCTACTTGAGTCTATGACTATCTAACACATTGGGCTCCTCTCTGACCCAGGCCACACTTTGTACAGTGCTCTTATCCTCTTTTGTTACTTGAAAGATTATTGATATATTTCCCTTCATGAATAGCCATTCAGCTCAGTGTTTACCCGTGGAATTCGGCCACCTTTTCCACGGAACCTTCAACCCAAAAAAAATAAAAATGGTAGCAATGGAAACTGCGTGCGCGGGAAAACGTCTCAAAAAACCTGCAGCCCCAGCCAGGCGAGGCCTAGACACTGGGACCACATGAGGTGCGCATATTCATCTATATCTCCCGTCTTTGTAACAGTCGAGGCCGACTTGATCCAATCCACCATCTCCGCATCGGGTGCTGGGTACGCTCCGGAAACTCATTGGATGGCTTTTCCTCCGTGATAAAGTGTTGGTGATGAGTAGGGCTCCGACCCCACCATCTGATCTGATCGTGGTTAGATTCATGATCATGGTGTTAGGGGAATGCGTTGAGAGATGAAGACGATACAGACCGCAAAAGCGATTGGGGAATCCTCATCGAAGTGAGCTTTTTATTACTCAATCTCGGCTCTGCAGACTCTACAGTGAGAGCTGGAGGTTCGTAGGGGATACCACTGACAGGTTTTGAGAATAGTCCCCCTTCAGATTCCAGTGGTTCTGGTGTAATTGCTTAGAATGCTCTTTTTTTTTTGCATGAGATTTTAATTGCGTATGCAGCTATCTAGCTATGACACAATATCAGAGAGGTGTATAATAGAGGACTCAATTTGGAAGAAGAGCACTCATGCCTCAGATTTTGTTTGCGATTACCACTGCGAAGTTATGGCGGCTTTTTCTTCACCCCAAGTCAACCCTCATCCGTGAATACCCACCCAGGGGAACGTCTCAACAACCCTGAGTTATCCAGACATGCCTCCATCATCATTCAACTTTTCTCCGCGCGAAATATGATCTGAGGTGTCTCCTTACCAAGTAGAGTAGGTGCCCAGGCTACTCAGACTATACCGGAGAACATCACCAGGAGGCGGAACACGGCACCTTCTATCGTTGGCTTGTGTTTATAGTGTCAGCTGCACTCTCGCAAGCGAAGTCTTGGCGCGCACAAAGCTCAATTCGTAAAACCTTTGCCAAAATTCGCCATTTCACGCCCACCGACATTATATCCTTCCTTTGCATCATCTTGCGAACTTGTCCTAATCCCTCTCACGTCCATCCCAAAGAGCTATCTGCCAGATTTGTGCTCAACGCTTTGCTTCCTCTGTCTGGTATAAATATTGGCGTGGGCTTGTATTTAGTGACCAGCTGAGGCCAGAGAAAGTCGACGAGAGGTGTGGTCACTGGTATGAGGATGTAATTGGTCGTACTTGTAGACTTGATGAGGCTTAGGTAGAAGTCGATCTTGTCGGGAGTGAAGATTTGCCGTGGTGGAGTAGTTTGAATTGTTGCATGGTGGTCCAACTTGTTCGGTATTGCGACATTTGACTGAACTTGGCTCTGGGAGATTATTTCACTCCCAGGTTCGTAGAGGATACCGGGTACAGATTTTCAATCTTGCCCTCCTTAGTATGCTCTGCATATCTGGGATAGTCGTGAAGAATTGTATCCGAATCGAAGTCGAAGTCGAAAGCAAACACATCCATAATTGGCGACGTTTCATCAATGCCGGTTTTGTCATTCACACGAGAGTCCTCTAACTTCACCTCTCTACACACCACTTCTCTTTCACGATCGATAAAGGCGTCAACCCTATGTAAACCGGAGCTTGCCTCATTCATCACCAGCGTTCTCTGTTATGAATGCAAGGTTTTGGGAGGTGGAATAGTTACCGGTAAATAACTGCACGTTCACTGAGACTTGAAGGTAGAGGTAGATTGTAATGAATTAGTAGACGTGCTTGCTTTCATTCAAGTTTAGAGAATCACTACTTTTATATACATATACCACATTCTATGGCTTTCCATATCACCAGTCGCTCAATTCCATTCAGTTCTGAGTCTGTTGTGATTGATGACATAACCACCCCTGCATCTGGTTATTTTGGATCACAGAGATGTAGTATCTAATGGTTAAAACAGAACAGACCAGAGTCAGATAGAATAGAACAGGATGGAATAGAATGTGATAACTCAGAGCTGAATGGAACTGAGCGACTGGGGATATGGAAAGCCATAGAATGTGATATATGTATATAAAAGTAGTGATTCTCTAAACTTGAATGAAAGCAAGCAAGTCTACTAATTCATTACAATCTACCTCTACCTTCAAGTCTCAGTGAACGTGCAGTTATTTACTGGTAACTATTATACCTCCCATAACCTTGCATTTATAATAGGTTATGAGCCAGGGCTCTTTCCTGCGTCAAGAACCATAGGGCACTCACAGCAAGGTCAGTTAACTCATTATCAGCAGAAAAGAATTAGTTACAATGGCATCAACCGTTCCTCGAGTAATCCTCGGTCCAGGCGTCAGTTTCTTTGAGTGGGAATCTTACGTTCAGGCAGCATTGGCTGAGAAGAAGCGTCTTGCATACGTCTTTCACGAAATAGGGATGAGGCCTATCATCCGACCGACGCCTCCTATCAAATCACCAGATATATCAGACACCGAATTCCAAGTAACCCTCGAAAAATATCAGAATCAAGTCGATAAATGGATCGAAGGAGATGTGGAAGCAAAAAATATACTCGTCTATTGAATGAGCATGGAGGTTCGGCCAAAGAATTACAGAAAATACACCGCAAAATAGCTTTATGAACACGCTGCAATGACGCGACAAGAAACAGCTATCACCCCATACGAAATTGTAGGCAGAACCTTCTTCCCGACGTCGTTTACCACAGCCGAATAATACTGTGACAGATTTCTACAGAACCTTTTAACAGTCAATAGCGCAGCTGAATCTCTTGCAGCTGAAATATTGGACAAAGAATTTTCGACCAATACATATTGAATCCTAGGTGGCGTTGGGTGCTAGCTCTTTATTCGGGGTACAGAAGGAATTTCTTGGCTTGATACTCGGAGAGAAACGAAAGTCTACGGAGCAGACAATAGATATGTCTCGCTGGATAAGATAATTTCGTCCCTAAGAGTGGCAGCAGGGAGTAGAGGTCTTACATCTGGACAAGCACTGGTAGCAGCCGGACCAGTGAGTAATCAGTGGGAGGTCAATGACATCACGACTAGGCCTAATGACAGATGTAGAATCTGCAAACATTGTCATAGTAATAAAAACTGTTTTAAGCAGCATCCTGAGCTGAGAAATAAAAAGAAAAATAGAGACAGGAAAAATGAGGCTAATCCGTCAGCAAGAGTGGCATCTGGATTTGATAATGAAGCTGGCAACAACAGTGACTCAAATTCTGAAGGGCTGGGCGTAGCTAATGTAGCTAGGGCTTCTTCAGCCTATTTAAACAAAAATTCTTTCCTCTATGATACAGGTGCTTCGCTCCATTTTTCTCGAAATGTGAAAGATTTTGTCAAAATACAAAAGTTGTCTAGACCTTTCAAGTTTGATCAAGCAATAGGAAGCTCCACCTTGACGCAGTCTGGGACTCTACTCGCGACCATCGGCAGCTTAACTCTTGAATTATCTGATACTCTTTATTCACCCAATTCCATCTGCAACATTATCTTAGCAGTTCGCTTAAAAAAGGAACACGACATTGTGGCAACATCAAATAATCAACTACTTGTAAAGATCAACAAAAACAAGCCTGATATACCAATAGCACAACTCATAGACAATGAAGGTGTCATTTTTATTGAACCACATGAAAAGTT